GCTGCTGGTACCAGAAGTTGGCAGCTGTTTTAGAGGAGATGGGATTCAGGACCAGCAGCTGTGATGAGAGCCTCTTTCTCAAGGGGGAGGGGGAGAAGCTGGTGCTGTTTCTGGTCTATGTGGACGACATTCTTCTCTTTAGCAGCAGCATGAAGGAGATCCAGAAGGTGCAGCAGCAGCTGATGGAGAACTTCAAGTGCAAGAACCTTGGGGAGGTAAAGTACTACCTCGGGATGCACGTGGAGAGGGATCTGGATCACAGGTGGTTGAAGCTGCACCAGGAGAAGTTCATCAAGGAGCTTGGGGAGAAGTATGGAATTGAGAATGAGCGCAAGGTTGCAACTCCCCTGCCAGCAGAATTCAAGCTTGTGAAAGCTGCAGAGGATGAAGGGGTTGAAGCCGAGGAGCAGCAGCAATTTCAGTCCTTGGTGGGCAGCCTCTTGTATGCAGCAGTTCACACGAGACCCGACATCTCTTTCTCGGTTGGGCAGCTGGCTAGGGTAGTGCAGAATCCATCAGAGGAGCAGGTGGATGCAGCTGAGCGTGTGGTGAAGTATCTGAACTCTCACCCAAGCATTGGAGTTCAATACTCCGCATCTGCACAGGTGAAGCAGAAAGGGGTTGAGGTGCTGAAAGAGAAGGGGGAGAGGCTTGGAGAAGGCAAGCTTTTTCTCACTTGCTTTACTGATGCTACGTGGGCCTCTGAGAAGGAGGATTCCTCATCTGTGGGAGGATACATCTGCGTAGTTGGGGGAGGACCGGTTAGTTGGAGGTCAAAGAAGCAGACGGAGACAGCACTCTCTTCCGTGGAATCAGAGTACATGGCGATGTTCCATGGGGTGAAGGAGGTGATTTGGCTGAGGAGGCTGTTGGAGGAGATTGGCCAGGAGCAAAAGGTTGCTACGCCGCTGTTTTGTGATAGCAAGGGAGCTCTTGGGATGGCCAGGAACGCTGTGCTTCATGGGCTGAATAAGCACATGCGTATCAAGTGGCACTGGCTGCGTAAGGAGGTGAAGAGGGGGACGGTGAATCCGATCTACATCAAGACTCACCAGCAGCCAGCAGACTTCCTCACCAAGAGGCTTGCGGATGAGTCTCATTGGCGTTGTGTGCGCATGAGTGGAATGAGCATGAACTAGTATGGAATGATGGGGATGCAGCCGGCAGGCTGAGGGGGAGTGTGTTGGGTGCAAATTCACATTGCACGACATCCTGCCGTCTGTTTGTACGAGTATGCGTGTGCGAATGCATTTGCGTGTGAATGGTATGTTTGTGTGTTTGTTTGCTTTCGCAATTTTCGCTTGAAGCATTTGCAGGTACTCGCACAATGTGCGCTTCGGCATAACATTGTACGCGCTATGAACAGTACAAGCAGAAAGGACGAGCTCGCAAAGGAACCCAAGATGGAAGCTTTGCGGTTCAACTTACTTGATTGCGCAGATTCAGTTCTATCCAACTCGAAATTGTACTGTTTTGTTTGGTTGACTATAGTGTAGCAGGGCAGGCACTATAGGGGTACAATTTAGGTAAAGGTTGGATGTTGTTTGTCTGTATCTGGATGCTACAGGGCCAGGGGAAACCAGCGGAACCAGCATTTGGCTGGTTGGGCAAAGACAAAACAGGTTCTGTTTTTAGGACCTGAACCTGGTTGTTGTTTTCCCAGGTTGGAAAAACAGAACCAGAGGTTGTTCACCAACCTACCACCTGCTATTTTGTCCAGCCAGGTTGGTTCTGTTGCTTGGAATTATTTGGGATCATCCCTGGTTGTTCCCAGGTTGATTCCCAAGGTCCTTGCTAGCTAGAGCTATTTATTCCTTCTCTGTTTGTACCTGAATATAGTGAAATTGATTCAAGCGAATTCCTTCCTTGCTGGAATTTCTTTTCTACGCGGTGCGACGGCGGAATGCTACCCGAGTCAACGCTAGTACGCTAGCACTCCAACGCTAGGCTAACGCTGTCTGAGCCATAACTTCGTAATGGCAGAACTTTTCGCGAGGCAACTTGGCTTATTTTAAAGCTCTTAGAGTGAGCTTCGATATAGGAAATTCTCAGCTTAATCCGATCGACGGTCTGCACGATACGCTGCGCGACGCTCAAGGTACTCTTGCTGTTTTGACTAAGTCCCTCTTGATCCCTCTCTCTACAAACTCGGACCCGAGGATAGGGGCTGGTCTTGTACCAGGCACCCAAGGACCCTTGGAGGTGACCCCGAGGAGAGGTTTTAAGTGTGATAAAGTCTTAATAGCTTGAGTTTATTAGGCCCTTACACCAACAGTAGGTTGGTGAACAACCTCTGGTTCTGTTTTTTCCAACCTGGGAAAACAACAACCAGGTTCAGGTCCTAAAAACAGAACCTGTTTTGTCTTTGCCCAACCAGCCAAATGCTGGTTCCGCTGGTTTCCCCTGGCCCTGTAGCATGCAGATACAGACAAACAACATCCAACCTTCACCTAAATTGTACCCCTATATTGCCTGCCCTGCTACACTATAGTCAACCAAACAAAACAGTACAATTTCGAGTTGGATAGAACTGAATCTGCGCAGTCAAGTAAGCCGAACCACAAAGCTTCCATCTTGGGTTCCTTTGCGAGCTCGTCCTTTCTGCTTGTACTGTTTATAGCGCGTACAATGTTATGCCGAAGCGCACATTGTGCGAGTACCTGCAAATGCTTCAAGCGAAAATTGCGAAAGCAAACAAACACACGAACATACCATTCACACGCAAATGCATTCGCACACGCATACTCGTACAAACAGACGGCAGGATGTCGTGCAATGTGAATTTGCACCCAACAATACCTAGGGTATGAGGTGAAAGGGGGACAGATAGGGATCCAACAGGCCAAGGTGGAAGTCCTGGACAGACTGAGGGAGCCGAGGGACAAGTCAGGGCTGAGAGCATTGCTGGGCTTCTTGAGCTACTATAGGTAGTTTGTACCCAACTTCAGCAAGCGAGCAGCGGTGTTGAATGTGCTATTGCGGGAGGACCAGGCGTGGGAGTGGGGGGAAGCACAGAAAGGGGTGCTGCAGGACCTGATGGCAGCAGTGAAGACCGCGACGGTGCTCAAGCTGCCCGCCGCTGATCAGCCGTTCACGCTTTACACCGATTGGAGCAGCCAATGGATGGGGGGGATTTTCTGCCAGGAGGTAGAAAGAGAGGAGAAGGTAGTGGCATATGCGAGCCGGAGCTGCAACTCGGCAGAGGCGCAGTACAGCTCCTACATCGGAGAAGGGTTGGCAGCCGTATGGGCAGTAGGGCATTTCAGGGTGTATCTGCAAGGGAGGGAATTCACCTTAGTAACAGACCACCAGCCTCTGACGTGGCTGATGTCAACCCCGGGACTGATGGGCAGGAATGCAAGATGGGCGATGAAGCTGCAGGAGTATGACTTCAAGATCAGGCATACGCCAGGAAAGACACTGCAACACGTAGATGGCCTCTCACGGAACCCCCCACCGCTTGAGCCCACTGTAACCTTGACACTGCTGGCCAGATTAGTGGAGCAGAACGGGGCCAAGGAGGGGAAGGGGCCAGCAGACATATGGGAGGACGGGCCGGCCCTGCGATAGGTAAAGGGAGAGACGGGAGAGGATAAAGCGCTACCGGCACGGGTAAGGGCAAGGGGCCAGCACTACCGGTGGTACCAGCAGCAGTTGCAGGTGCAGACAGAGGACGGATGGAAGCTGGTGCCGGCTCCAAGTGAGAGAGAAGCAGTGATTAACGAAGTCCACACCAAGCTAGGGCACTTTGGGCACGAGAGGATAATGCAGCTGTTGAAGACAGGGTGGTGGTGGGAGGGGATACGAAGGCAAGTAAAGGGGTGGGTGGAGGGCTGTGAGGCATGCCAAAGGAGCAGGGCAAACCTCACCCAAGCCAAGGCGGAGTTGCAGTCGCTGCCCATCAGAGGCCTCGGCTTCCGATGGTCCTTAGACCTGGCGGGGGAGCTGCCACTGAACCGTGGGGGGAAGCAGTACATAGTGCTCATGGTTGAACATGTGAGCAAGTGGCTGGAGGTAAGAGCGATCCCGAGCAAGAGCTCCAGACACGTGGCAGCAGCGTTCAAGGAACAAGTGTTGTGCAGGTTCGGGGCATGTGCAGAGGTCCTAACAGATCAAGGGACAAAGTTCCAGGGGGAGTTTAAGGGGCTGCTGGAGGAGACTGGGATCACCCACAGGCGCACTTCGCAGTACCACCCACAGAGCGATGGGCTGACTGAGCGACTGGTCCAGACCTTGAAGCGGGGACTGCGAGCGTACGGGGAAAAGGAGAAGCGGGACTGGGACGAGGAGCCGCATTAGATAGCAGCAGGGTACAGATTTGGGAAGCAGGCGGCACTGAGAGATCACTCCCCTTATAGTCTCCTATATGGGTGTGAGCCGCTGCTGCCGGTGGGAGCAACCCGGGTCCTCACAGACACTGTGACTGCAGGGACGATAGAGAACTGGGTGGCGCTGTCCGAGACCAGGGCAAGATACCTACGAGTGATGATGCCAGCGGCATTGGAGAATCTCCACACCACACAGCTGCGGAATGCTCGGAGATATGAGCAGAGGCAACAGCAAGGGGCGGGGGGCAGACCCAGGAAGGGAGTGAGTCAGCGGCAGGAAGTGTACTTGAAGCAGGCAAAGCAAGACACGCTGGATGTTGGGGTGGGCACGCAGAGGTGGAGGGTGAAGGAGGTCCGTCCCTCAGGGGTGTTGGTTCTGGAAAATGACACAGGGGCACTCCTGAAGGAGCACCAGAGCAACACGGCCATGGTGAGGGGGAGCGAGCCTCACCAAGCGGGTCCTGTGACTCGGGCTCAGGCAGCTAGAGCAAGAGCACAGGAGGGGGCAGTGGGTAAGTGAGGCTGTGCAACAGAGAGGAGGAACAGGAGAGTCTGCAGGAAGAAGAGCAGGTGCAGGGTGAAGCGCAGGTGCAGGGTGAAGAGCAGGTGCAGGGTGAAGAGGAGGTGCATGAAGAAGAGCGGCGACTGAGAGGAAGAAGGTTCTCCGACATCATGCTGCCGTACCTGTTCCCTGACCTCGCCGCCTTTCCCACAGTCGCTGACCTCATTACGCACCTTCGCACTAGTGACATCCGCTACCGCGCTGCGCTTCCTGCTGAGTTCTGTGCCAAGAACCCTCCCCCCATGTACATCACCCTCTACTACATAGTCACACGGCTCTCTGACTCCCTTCGCTTAGTCACGGACCACTTCCTCTCAGTTTGCCCCACCACACTAACCGTTGACCTCCTCGGGGAGCGCCTCCTAGCAGCAGGGAAGAGCATAGTCGCTGTAGGAGCCTCTCGTGGTGACCCTCGCACCCCCGTCTTTGAGGGGTGTTCCCCCTCCCCCCTCTTGCCCTCTGTTGCTTCTGCTGCTGCGGCCGACCTTGTTGATTTCGAGTCGATCGGCGCTGCGTCTGCCCCTACCGAGAGACGCCGCACCGGCAAGGGCAAGGGGGGCAAGGGCACTAGAGGGGCTGGCGGGGGCGATGGAGGTGGTGGTAGAGGCAGTGGAGGGGGTGGGGATGGTGGTGGGAGTGGTGGCGGGGGTGGAGGTGTCAGTGGCAGCAGTGGAGGCGGAGGAGGCGGCGGCGGTAGCGGAGGCGGCGGAGGTGGCGGAGGCGGCGGAGGTGGCGTTGGCGGCAGCGGCAGCGGTGGAGCTGGTTGCGGCTCTACGCAAAGGAGTGGCTCCGGTGGTGCTCCGCGCCAGCAGCAGAAGCGCGCTCGTGAGACCCCGTCCCATCAGCAGCTTCGTGAGTGGTATGCTGGGCGTCAGCGAGGTGGGGGTACTGGTCCCGGCACCTACGTCCTCTATAAAGGCGACCGTGCTGGTGAGCAGTGCGGGGGCCCGCACTCCACCCAGCGCTGCTTCGGCCGCCTGACGGACGCGTGGCGTCACCAGTTCCCTGACGCCACTAAGATCCCTCGCTGGGGAGATCTGTCTAGGGCTGGGGTTGGGGTAGCATTCCGCTGTCGCACCGCGTAGAAAGGAAATTCCAGGAAGGAAGGAATTTGCTTGAATCAATTTTACTATATTTAGGTACAAACAGATAAGGAATAAATAGCTCTAGCTAGCAAGGACCTTGGGAATCAACCTGGGAGCAACCAGGGATGATCCCAAATAATTCCAAGCAACAGAACCAACCTGGCTGGACAAAATAGCAGGTGGTAGGTTGGTGAACAACCTCTGGTTCTGTTTTTCCAACCTGGGAAAACAACAACCAGGTTCAGGTCCTAAAAACAGAACCTGTTTTGTCTTTGCCCAACCAGCCAAATGCTGGTTCCGCTGGTTTTCCCTGGCCCTGTAGCATGCAGATACAGACAAACAACATCCAACCTTCACCTAAATTGTACCCCTATAGTGCCTGCCCTGCTACACTATAGTCAACCAAACAAAACAGTACAATTTCGAGTTGGATAGAACTGAATCTGCGCAATCAAGTAAGTTGAACCGCAAAGCTTCCATCTTGGGTTCCTTTGCGAGCTCGTCCTTTCTGCTTGTACTGTTCATAGCGCGTACAATGTTATGCCGAAGCGCACATTGTGCGAGTACCTGCAAATGCTTCAAGCGAAAATTGCGAAAGCAAACAAACACACGAACATACCATTCACACGCAAATGCATTCGCACACGCATACTCGTACAAACAGACGGCAGGATGTCGTGCAATGTGAATTTGCACCCAACACACTCCCCCTCAGCCTGCCGGCTGCATCCCCATCATTCCATACTAGTTCATGCTCATTCCACTCATGCGCACACAACGCCAATGAGGCTCATCCGCAAGCCTCTTGGTGAGGAAGTCTGCTGGCTGCTGGTGAGTCTTGATGTAGATTGGATTCACCGTCCCCCTCTTCACCTCCTTACGCAGCCAGTGCCACTTGATACGCATGTGCTTATTCAGCCCATGAAGCACAGCGTTCCTGGCCATCCCAAGAGCTCCCTTGCTATCACAAAACAGCGGCGTAGCGACCTTTTGCTCCTGGCCAATCTCCTCTAACAGCCTCCTCAGCCAAATCACCTCCTTCACCCCATGGAACATCGCCATGTACTCTGATTCCACAGAAGAGAGTGCTGTCTCCGTCTGCTTCTTTGACCTCCAACTAACCGGTCCTCCTCCAACTACACAGATGTATCCTCCCACGGATGAGGAATCCTCCTTCTCGGAGGCCCACTTAGCATCAGTAAAGCAAGTGAGAAAGAGCTTGCCTTCTCCAAGCCTCTCCCCCTTCTCTTTCAGCACCTCAACCCCTTTCTGCTTCACCTGTGCAGATGCGGAGTATTGAACTCCAATGCTTGGGTGAGAGTTCTGATACTTCACCACACGCTCAGCTGCATCCATCTGCTCCTCTGATGGATTCTGCACCACCCTAGCCAGCTGCCCAACCGAGAAAAAGATGTCGGGCCTCGTGTGAACTGCAACATACAGGAGGCTGCCCACCAAGGACTGAAATTGCTGCTGCCCCTCGGCTTCAACCCCTTCATCCTCTGCAGCTTTCACAAGCTTGAATTCTGCTGGCAGGGGAGTTGCAACCTTGCGCTCATTCTCAATTCCGTACTTCTCCCCAAGCTCCTTGATGAACTTCTCCTGGTGCAGCTTCAACCACCTGTGATCCAGATCCCTCTCTACGTGCATCCCGAGGTAGTACTTTACCTCCCCAAGGTTCTTGCACTTGAAGTTCTCCATCAGCTGCTGCTGCACCTTCTGGATCTCCTTCATGCTGCTGCTAAAGAGAAGAATATCGTCCACATAGACCAGAAACAGCACCAGCTTCTCCCCCTCCCCCTTGAGAAAGAGGCTCTCATCACAGCTGCTGGTCCTGAATCCCATCTCCTCTAAAAAAGCTGCCAACTTCTGGTACCAGCAGCGTGGCGCCTGCTTCAAGCCGCAGATGGACTTTTTCAGCTTGCACACCCTGCCCGTACCATCCTCATACCCAGGTGGCTGCGTCATGAACACATCCTCCTCTAAAATCCCGTTAAGGAATGCCGTTGATATGTCCATCTGGATAATGAACTTCCCACTAACGGCTGCATCTGCCAACAAGACACGAAGGGTAGGGGGTTTGGCAGTGGGAGCAAAGATCTCATTGAAGTCCCGCTTCTCCTTCTGCATAAACCCCTTAGCCACCAACCTACTCTTGTAGATGGTGACCTGCCCCTTGTCGTCAGTCTTGATCCTTAGCACCCACTTGCATTGTACCGCTTTCTTTCCCTCAGGCAGCACCACTAGTTCCCAAGTCCCATTCTCCAGCAGGCTCTGGTACTCAGCATCCCTAGAAGCTAGCCATTTGTCCCTATCTGGTCCAGCTAATGCCTCCTCCATGCTAGCTGGTTCCTCTGGTGCAGGGGCAAGAAAACAGTACGCAGGCTCATCCTCCTCATCCGGGTCATAGCCATGCGGTAGAATCAGCAATGCCTCCTTGGTCCCAAACTGCTGCTCAGCTACATCAGCTCCTGCAGTCAGCTTCTTAGTAGCCATACGGGTACGTCCTGGCCTGGAGACGGGTGTCTCCCATTCCTTCATAACGACACCCTTCGGCTTCTTAGGTTTCCCCTTCTGCTGCTCTCTCCCCTCAGATCCAGCAGCTCCACTAGTGCCAGTCTCCACATCATTTTCTCCACCAGCAGGTGCCTCCTGTACCTTCTTTCTATCACCACCCTCTGCAGCTGCCTCCTCTCCCTCCTCCCACACACTAGGAGTCAGGTCCAGCTGCATGGTGATCTGCTCCATTTGCAGGGACACCCTGGCCTCCGGCTGTTTCTCCCAGCTCCCATACATCATGCCCTCAACAAACTTCACATCCCTGCTGTCAAACAACACACCCTTGGAAGGCTGAACAGCATGGGGCCACATCAAGTTGCCCAGCCCAGATTCTATGAGCAGCGCCCTAGCTGTCTCCAGAATTGTCCGGTTCGCCCATTCTGCTACACCGTTGGACTGTGGGGTGTAAGCCGTGGTCAGCTCCCTCTGGATGCCCTGCTTCTTGAGCCAGGCCGTCATCTCGGCTCCAAGGAACTCACCACCTCGATCTGTCCTAATCCGCTTCACCACACACTCCGCTAGCTTCTCCACTAACGGCAGCCAATCGTCCCGAATCGTGGAGGCGGCGTGATCTTTCTGCTTCAGCGGATACGCCCACATTAGCCTGCTCCAGTCATCCACTATGGTTAGGAAGTACCGCTCCCCCTTGTGCCCTTGCACCGGCAGCGGCCCCACCAAGTCCATGTGGACCAGCTCCAACGGCTTTTTGCTCCTGCCAGCCACACTATGGAAGGGGAAACGGGTGAACTTTGAAAGGAGGCAAATTTCACAGTTATCATCGGGTGGTTGTCCGTTCAGCTTCAAGCCCTTAACGGCTCCATCCTTCTCCAGCTGCTTCAGCAAAGGCATTGCCACATGCCCCAAACGTCGGTGTGCAGTTGCCCAATCCGTCTCCCCAGATCTGGCCGACACTTTCACACCAACCCCTCCAACGGCGTTGCACTCCCCCTGGGATGCAGACCCCTCTCCAGCCTGCCCCGCACCGTGCCACGCCAGCGCCGGCAGCTGCCACATAGATCTGTACACGTCCTTGCTCTCGTGCAGATCCCAAAGCACCCGATTGCCCAGCTTCCCCTCGTAAGTGCGAGCCCCATCCGTGTTGGTGTTCACCCCAGCCTTGCCAAGCTTACGGAGGGAGATAAGGTTGGCCTTCAGGTCGGGGACGAGGAGAACGTCGTGCAGCACCACCGGCTTGCCATCCGCTCCCTTAAACGCAGCTCGTCCCGCACCAGCCACCTTCAACATGTGTCCAAAGGCAGAGAACACCTCATTAATCGGTGCAGCGCGTACGTCGTCCAGCAGGTCCTTGCGCGGCGTCATTGTCCAAGCAGCACCTGTGTCCAACACCCAATAGTCCAGGGGGTGCAGCTCTGCTCCAACCTTAGCAGATGCGTCTCCTTGCTCCCTCTTTTCTCCCATATGGAAGAATTGGCCCGCGGTGCGCTCCTTCTTCTTCTTCGCACCGCCGTTGCCCTTCGGGTTGTTGTTGGACGAATCAGCGACCATGTTGGCGCCGTTTTTCTGGTTCCTCCCCGTGCCGCCATCCTGGTGACGATTCTGATGGGTCCATCCATCGGGTTTCTTATAGCACAAAAACCAGGGGTGCCCTTGTTGGTGTAAGGGCCTAATAAACTCAAGCTATTAAGACTTTATCTCACTTAAAACCTCTCCTCGGGGTCACCTCCAAGGGTCCTTGGGTGCCTGGTACAAGACCAGCCCCTATCCTCGGGTCCGAGTTTGTAGAGAGAGGGATCAAGAGGGACTTAGTCAAAACAGCAAGAGTACCTTGAACGTCGCGCAGTGTATCTTGCAGACCGTCGATCGGATTAAGCTGAGAATTTTCTATATCGAAGCTCACTCTAAGAGCTTTAAAATAAGCCAAGTTGCCTCGCGAAAAGTTCTGCCATTACGAAGTTATGGCTCGGACAGCGTTAGCCTAGCGTTGGAGTGCTAGCGTACTAGCCTTGACTCGGGTAGCATTCTGCCGTCGCACCGCGTAGAAACGAAATTCCAGGAAGGGAGGAATTCGCTTGAATCAATTTCACTATATTCAGGTACAAACAGAGAAGGAATTGTTGGTGTAAGGGCCTAATAAACTCAAGCTATTAAGACTTTATCACACTTAAAACCTCTCCTCGGGGTCACCTCCAAGGGTCCTTGGGTGCCTGGTACAAGACCAGCCCCTATCCTCGGGTCCGAGTTTGTAGAGAGAGGGATCAAGAGGGACTTAGTCAAAACAGCAAGAGTACCTTGAACGTTGCGCAGCGTATCGTGCAGACCGTCGATCGGATTAAGCTGAGATTTTTCTATATCGAAGCTCACTCTAAGAGCTTTAAAATAAGCCAAGTTGCCTCGCGAAAAGTTCTGCCATTACGAAGTTATGGCTCAGACAGCGTTAGCCTAGCGTTGGAGTGCTAG